TGCATGCCTGTCATTTGACAGCTGTGTTTACCTGTCAAAGACTGGCCACAGAAACCTGGAGAAGCTCTGACATTAAGGGGCCACAATATTCTGAACACTTATTCTTTGTTTTAGTGGGATGAGTTTGAGCCACACTTTAACTCAACAATATAATAAAATGCAAACACTACACAATCAACCCAAAACTGCACCTGAGGTAAGGCTTTCAAGTTCTTTTTCCTCACATATCTTTTCAGCATTTTCAGGTACAGGGGCATTTCCAGTCGAGACCTCACTCCCTGACATTGTTGGTTGATGAGAGTTACATGTAAAACCCATGTCTTTGTTTACAGAAAACTCAGCACCAACTCTGAGCTTTATTTCCAGCAATGTGCAAATGTGTCGGACAAAATTTCCTGAAAATTAGAATTCTCAACATTCAAAATTGAAGGTTTTCTTCAAAAATTGTCATAAGCAGTATGAGAATTGTCTAAAGCAAATGGAGAATGCTGTAAAATAGTACGTAACAACTTCACATCTGAATTAAACAAAGCTAGGGCCTTTGAAATTCAGCTGGAGTATCTGACAATGAGAGTAAAACCCATTTTCTGAGGGTTAATAAAACACCTTAAAATTTTACCACTTAAAAACAGGACAAAAGTAAAAAATCCTATCATCAATAACTTTAGAAAATTATCTGAAGAGTTTCAGACTGTATGTTGCTTAAAGTAGCATAACAGAGTAAATATTTTCTGTGCCATAAATAACTGTATCCCTACCAGCATGAATGTTATCTTTAAACACAGAACCAGGTAAGTGGAATATCAGATGTCTTGAAAACTTAGAAGAAGTGCTGAAATCAAATCAACAACAATGTACATATACTTGTTAATGATCCAGGGATTGAAGCTTCACGTAATTGAATAATTCAGTAGATCAACAAAGCAAAACCATAATAATTTTATAGAAAGGAAGTTGTCTTACAACTCTAGCATGGTGAATAGAGATAAAGAGATACCTTTTACTAGAGTCTGGTTTTGGTTCTTTTGGATATTGTGACTATGAAGTTTGGTTCTTTTGGATATTGTGACTATGAATGTCACAATCTTAGCCAAATAACAGTGATGGAAAAAGCCAAAGAGGAAAATAAGAGAAGCTATTGACAGAAATAACAAGAAGGAGGCTAATATAATCATAATAATTATTACAATTGTTGAGCTCCCAAGTGTGGGAGAACTCAGGAATAATTTCACTTGGATTGAAGAAAGAAATTAACAATGACCAATTTTATTTCATTTGTTTAAGTACTAGTATATCACAGACATATAACAATCCCCAGGGATAATAAGAGTTCTTATCTGAATCATTTCTTGGCATGGATATAATCATTCATTACTAGTAACTTACCTTGAATCCAAATCTATAATAAATTTCCTGTCACAGTCAACACCATACATATTTTTCAGGTGGTGACAAACATACTGAAATAGAAAAATCATTCATATTTACTCCATAGTATTTCCTTCCTTAAATGTTCATTAAGAAGAACATATCAGGGTTTTAATTGAGCAAACAGATTGGAGAATTCACCATCACAACCCACAATACAACACAGCCAACTGAGTCCAGTCCTTGTTCTCCACCATCTGTTGCACAGCAGAAAAAAGAGAAGCCGGTAGAAAAAATAAACAAGTAATTTACAGGTTTACATATGTAGATCAGTCCATAAGAGAAAAACTGTGCCCTAGGTCTTGAGTACCACCTGAGGCCTGAGGCCTTACGTTGTACTCTAGACCTCCAACACAGTTTTTCCCCATTAAAGACCTCCTTCCCAGTAAATAACATATATACTCAGACATGGAAAATATTTCCTTGTTTATCTACATTATTCTCTTGCCTCTAATCAATTTCCTTGGACTCACCTTGATGAAAATGTCTACCATACTGGCTCCATCCTTTAGTGGATTAAATTCGGTTTTAAATTCCAGGTCAAAATACAGTCGGCAAGCAGCCCCTAGAATTATTCAAAGATAAATAATATTGCAACAGAATCCAAGGTTTTTAAGCTGCAACCAGACTTCCCTGTTTTATAGACATCAATCATTCACAACATCAGACTCCTATTTTGGCATCAATGACTACAACCACCACCTTCTTCATCTCAACAACAATTGATTAGTTTGATGTTTGGGGGAAAACCGCAATCTAGAATAGATTCCTATCTCAGTTCTCAACACAGTCTCACTCCTAATTAACCCTTTTACTCCAAATTGAGTGACGAAGATAGAATATCTCCCTACACCATCAATACAGTATGAAGCAGACAAGTGATGAGAATACAGAAAAACATCAATTCAGGGATCATAAGTCAATCCAACACCAAATTGTCCAAACTAAAATAATAAGAATTGAAGGCAACACAGTAAGGAGATTTACTAATAAGATCTTGGGAATGAAAGCATGAGGTTGAAGAATGAGAATTAAATATATAAACAGCTAAATAATACACAGATTTAAGATTACCCTCTGGTATAACTTCATAATAATTTCTGTCCTCTAATGAACATATCCTGCCAAGTTGAGAAAAGGAACATCAGGAAATGGTGACATCAAATTACAAGGAAAGAAAATGTTCTCTGTTTTTTTGTGCATTTGCTTTAAGTTTCTTCATTTCAAGCTATTTGATTATTTCAAATTTGGGATCTGTACAAGTGTCAATTGAATTCTTCTTTGGCTAGCCTCACTGATCCTTCTCACCAAGTGATTTTCAGTTTTGCACTGCTAGCAGTTTCAAAGGACCATGCTTTGCAGGGAGCAGATCTAGGGGAGGGGTGCAGGGCATGCACACCTCTCCCCCTGAGATGACCTCTTATATAACTAGTATTGTGCATAACAAAAAAGAAAAACCTACAGTTCATTTGCACTGAAGCAAAACATGAGACACGGTTAAAGAATGTTTGTTACATGTTATAAGAATGGTAGTTTGGCACTGCTCTTTCTAACAGCCCTTCTATTTGTCAGAGCGGACATCAGTAAGGTCACAAAGTCTCCTATGAAAAGTTCTAGACCCACCCTTACTTTGCCAGAAACCCTTCTGAATTATTTAACCTTTCAGTCCCACTGGTGACCTAGACAGAATTTCTCCTTACACTGTCAGTATGATATCAAGCTGACAAGTAATGAGAATAAAGAAAAATTTCATTTAGGGGATTAATGGTTGATCCAGTTCCAAATTCTCCAAACTAACATCACATAAATTGTATGGCAGACAGCAAGGAGAATTACTAATGAAAGGGTTAAGTTTGCTAAGAGTTGCAGTAAAATAAATGTGATACCTGACCTTGTATACTTGTGCCAAAAGTATGGCAAAGTTGCAACAATATAGCCACGTTTTCCATGACAGTCTTTCTCTTTAGCAAACACATGAACATCCTATCCAATAACAAAATGAAATATCACTATAAAATGTGCTAAGTTATTTTATTACCTCCTTTCCTTGATTTATTTTTGCTTCATTGTGAAAATGAACACAAAAAAGTAGAGTATACAGAGAAAAACAGATCCAAGATACTCTTACTCTGAGGAAAAAAACCCAGTTACATCACTTAAATTCCAAGAGATTCTTTCAAAAACAAATAAAAATATAGTTGAAGTAACTCTATTTAATAAGCTATGAAATAGTTAAGAACACATTGCTAGCTGTTGCCTGCCCTTGGTGTACATCAACAACAGCTATGCCAAATTTGTCTAAGGAGAATTCTTGTTCTTTATGAGCTGATGTTTCATCAACCACCAAGATCCCCAAAAGTGTAGGCATTTTTTTTCTTTGAGGATTAATCAAAATTGCCTTTCAGAGTGATATTAGGCCTATGCATGCTAGTTACAGTAAATTACAATGTAGTTGAAAAGAAGCTTTGAGAAAGAGTAAATAATCCTGACGTGACGAAAAAAAAAACTTGATGTTTGCTTCCAGAAATGAGAATAAAGTAATTAGAAATTTTGAACTGTAGCTCACCTACCTCTTGACAAGTCTTGAGGTAATCAAAGGCCATTTGTTGTCTTGGGAATGTTTTAAAGATAGGTGGAGGGTCGTTTATCCTAAAAATATCAACATCGTTTGGGACACGACTCAAGACTGAGTAGTAACTGGAGCAAAGCTTAAAATGCAGAGTAGGGGAAGTGACAGGGCACTGGAATCACAGAATTATATTCCAGACATTCAGCAGCTGTAAAACTAAGGGAAGGGCTTTATTCCAACAGTCATTGTATGATTTAAAAAGTTTAGATCGCAATGCATGCAACATTGGTTCTACCTACAAGTGACCTCATCCCAGAGTTGTGTTGTATTTTGAAGCGAAGAGTATTACCGGTAACAGCACTTTTCAGGAAGGAAAATATAGAAGCCTTCCCCAGCATTTTAACGAGATCAGAGGCATGCTAGGTTTTGTTATCATAAGAAACATATTTGGCTAACTTAAAAATGTTCTTTAGATAACTCACTTTTGCCTTCACGTGGTAAACTGGAAAATTTAATGACAATTAATGGCTAATGTTAAATACAGTATAAAACTGTGTACCTTTGACGTTTGAGTAAAATTGGGTTATCTTCGAATTCCCTGGCGCACTTTTCCAGTTTATTCATCTTTTGCTGCCAAGCTTTATTCAATCTACAGCCAGAAAATTTAAATAACTATGAAAATTATCTTTATCAGCTACACAGTCTACAGCTGATGAAATGAAAAGCCGTTCCGTGAACAAACCTCTTTGAATTGTTCCCATAAAACGCCCTTGTAGTGATTGAAATTTCTGCCATCTTATGAACGTGTATCCACGACAATCATGTTTCTACACATGGATTTTAAAATTACTAATATGTCATTTTTAAAAACGCGAACCAAACATGTCATCCGCCATGTTTTTCAATGTTTCGCGCGCAACAACGCCCGCCAGGCTTTATTGGAAATTTTACCATATTTAGTCTCCGTTATGATCGTAGAGACTTGTGGGATAAAGAGATCAAAACGCGTGTCTTCTGCATTTCCCTTGCCGGCAAAATTCAATGGAAATCTGAGTGGCACTTGTGTTAGTGTAGCAGTTGGGGAGCATTTACTGGAATATTTGACTTCGATGTCAGTGCAAGATGTCGAAAAGGAGGTTAGATGTCGATGGAAGCTCATCCAACTCGTTAACCACCGCGAAAAGGATAAAGGAAGAGTTGAGGTAGGCTGTGATTCACATGCGAAGGGCAGATTTTCATTTTTGAATAATCGCCGATCTTAATCAATCAGCAGCTGTTTTTGGAACAGAAACTAAAGTTCATTTGTCTTTTCCATCACAATCTTTTCTCGGGAAAGCGTTGCTCTGGATATATTTGTATCGAAGCGTATCTGATTTAAATGTGGCCGATTAGATGTGCAATTTTTTTTTCGAACCTACACTGCCGAATTATGCTGATAAGTAAAGAAGACGGTATTTCCAATATCGCGAAATCATCATTTATTTCGCAGAATCCTCCCTTGTGTTACATAAATATGTAGGGCTATAAAAGATAACACACATATCCTTAAAGTGTTGTTTCAATTTTGGACCAAATTGATTACTATTCGAGCAAGAGAGCACTTAAAAACATTGACTTCTCTCTCTCTTTGTTACCCCAGTCTGAAACTCACGTCAGGTCGCTTAAATTCATACGTCGTGGCTTTCATTATATACACTGGATGAATTTCTTTGTGCTAAAATGAAACAAAATATATAAAAGATAAAAACAAAAAATTTAAAAACATTCACTAGAAAAGAAATTTCTTACAGTCAGAAAGTCACAAGGTACTTCCTCTAATTCAGGTGATAGCTATGTAAGACTCGAGATTATAGTATTCTCCAGGAAATAAAATGCCTTTGCAAGAGCTGTTGGCGTTTTTTGCCTGCCTTTGATGAATCATCATGTTTCTTTTACCTTGTGTAACACAAACTTGTGAGTTGCTGCCACTGCATTCTTCTCCTTCTGCCCTTTTGTAAGTGTTGTGTCAATTTACTCAGGCTTCCGCTGTTTGCGAGTATGATGTTACTCACCGTAATGTTTAGATTTAATATCCTCATTCCTGTAAGTGCCCCCTCTATAAGCACCCCTTTTCTATTAAGTGCCTTTTCTATTAACAAGCGTCGCTACTCTGTTACATTGATAGCATTGTCAGAGTATATGTCTACTGAGATCAACCATGGTTGATCTTCTTTTAACTTGCTTGCTTTAAGCCTCATTACAAAAACAGTGGTCTTCATCATGGTCTCTCAGCTATTATGTCTACATGACTGCACAGGTCCTTCATACGAATGATCTTGTCTCTAAATTTTGCATCAGTTGTCTGGCTTGTTGTTCCAGCTAGGAGGGATCTTTGGACAACAAGTCTGTTTTCCATTTTCTCTGATACATTTTGAATGAACATGAATGGTTTTTTTTGCTTATTCAGCTGTTCCTTGAAAAAGAAATAAGCACCCTGTCCCTGATAAGCACTCTGTACCAACAGTGAATAAGTGCCCTTGGGCACTAAATCAAATCATTACAGTGGATAGATGTCACTCTTTGGGTTGTCATGGTTACCTGCTACACTTGGTAGCCTGCACCAACCTGTCAGTCACCTTCCCCCCCCCCCCCCCTCCCTCTGCACTGTATTTATTTTTGATGATTTTAATCAGAACTCTCTGTGACCTCATTCTAAGAAGTATATATATCCAACTCCTGGTTTACATTTCTCTCTTTTCTGTTGGTAGTAATCCAAGCAATCTTCGCGGAAAGATCAATCCTTTCAATGGGAAGCTATTCTCAGACAGATATTTTGACATTCTTAAGAAGAGAATTGAGCTTCCAGTATGGGAGTACAGGGAAAAATTTATGGAGACTATGAAAGAAAAACAAGCTTTTGTCCTGGTTGGAGAGACTGGATCTGGTAAAACAACCCAGGTAATACTCAACTGTATAATTTGGTATTATCAACTCAGGTGATAAGGTAAATTGGCCTCTGTAAAGACTTTCAAGCTGATGTTTCGAGCATTAGCCCTTTGTCAGAGGGAAGGACAAAGGGCTAACACTCAAAACATCAGCTCTGAAACTCTTTACAGTGGCCAGTTTACCTTATCACCTCAGCTGATAATACTAATTAATTTGTTGTACTCCCCTAGCTGCACAGCACCACAGTTTCTTTTGGAAACTAACCCTGTTTATTCATCAATACTTAGCCGTATTTTGCTGTGAAGAAGGGCTAATGCTCAAGTTATCAGCTTTAGAAACTGTTTATGGAAGCTATTTGAAATAACTCAGTTGATGAGACCAAATTATCTTAGTAGTTTATTGGAAGTTGAGCTTTAGTACCCTCCTTATCATGTGTACATCCAAGACCAGTTATGCCTAATCTGTGTAGTAAGGTCATTAAACTGAGATTGATTTTCAAGCTGAAAGGAAGCAGGAAAGACAGAAGAAATCAATTTTATTATGTTGGTGATTGCATTGCATTAAATGTGGTTTAAGGTGAAAGAAGAAAAACATTTGATGAACTTTTTGTATTTTTGTAGATTCCACAGTGGTGTCTTGAAACTCGTATTGACAAACGCAAATGTGTGGCATGTACCCAGCCACGGAGGGTTGCTGCCATGAGTGTTGCTCAGCGTGTTGCTGACGAATTGGATGTCACCATAGGTCAAGAGGTTGGGTACACCATTCGATTTGAAGATTGCACAAGTCCTCGCACTATATTGAAGTAAGAGAAAAAGTCAATTTCATCCTCAACCCTTAAACTTCCAACATCTGATTATTGATTCTCCCTTCTAACTGCTACACATTTCCTGGTGAATGGTTATGAGAATTTGGTGTTAGATCAAAATAATAACTTCTACCTGATGAGTTTGAGTATTCTTGTTACCTGTTTGCTGGGTAATGTATGGATATTATGAGTAGAAGTTATTGTTAATCAGATAGAGGGTTAAAAACTATACAGGAAGGAAGAAGGTTTGAGAAAGTGCAAAGATAACAGTTGGGCTGGTACAGATGCCTGAAGAAATGAGATAATCATCTCTAAATGTAATTTAAAGCTTGTTTTAATTTGTTTACAGGTACATGACAGATGGTATGTTGTTGCGGGAGGCTATGACTGATCCTTTACTAGACCGTTATGCAGTCATTCTTCTTGATGAGGCTCACGAGAGAACTCTTGCTACTGATATCCTCATGGGTCTACTGAAAGAGGTATGTACGCACCTGGGGATTTTGTATTTCTTCCAACAAGAGCTAGGTGACATAGCATTGGTTTCATACACTGCTACTTTGTAGGCATCATTTTTATCAGATCTGCGACCTCTACTGTACTTGCATTACCCTGGTAGATCTATTTTAAGTCATGCTGTACCAGCTTCCATAATGCTCTTCCATTGCACCTTAAGTGAGAACTAGAGCATGTTCATCAGGAGGTGTTAGCCATTATCTTTCCAGGTATAGAATACACTGTAGCCCTAGATTAAACTGGCTTTCTGATGCCAGCTAATTATGATGAAGATTGTTGTATGAAGACATCTGACTGATAAGGATAGCCACCTTCATAAGCTTTTTTTCCACAGCACATAAATCAGTGTACTCACCCAGATGCAATAGGCTTTTCTCAGTCTTAAAATGGAAAACAGACTGTATTAGAAACACATTTTTAATGAGCTTGTGTTTAATTAAATAATAGTTTATATTAATGATCCCTTTTATTAGAGTTTTAAATTTGCCTTACAAATTTTGGGTGTTGTATTTATATTACGATGTTATTATCCTTAGTACAGAAAATGATGTATATTTTTTAGAATAAGAACTTTATCAGTAGTAGTATTCAACTGTAAATGCACAATCCAACCTTCTGGCTGCCTTTGTGTTAATTAGTAAACTATCCACTCTACTACCACTTCCTTATGTTGCACCTGTAACTGCTTTTCTACAGGTTGTGCGACAGAGACATGACCTTAAGATCATAATCATGAGTGCCACCTTAGATGCTGGGAAATTTCAGGAATACTTTGATGAGTGTCCACTCATGACAATCCCTGGACGAACTCATCCTGTGGAGATTTTTTACACTCCTGAACCTGAACGAGACTACCTGGAGGCCGCCATTAGAACAGTGGTACAGATACACATGTGTGAGGAAGTAGAGGGCGACATTTTGTTGTTTCTTACTGGGCAAGAGGTGTGTTCAAAGTTCTAGATGTTCTGTTGTGTTTAAATGGTATAATTCTCTATTCTCAGTAAATTGCGCTTATTTTATCAAATGATAATTATCCATAGATATATGAAAGCTCATTTTTGGTCAACCGTTTCTCGGTTTAATCCGTTTTTGGACTTTGGTCATAACGTTACCATTTTTATTTTTGAACTAGTGTGAGCTTATTGGTCAACCGTTTAACGTTTCGTGCTATCCGTTTTAATTTTTGGTCAACCGTTTTAGGGCCTAATCTATCCGTTTATGGACTTTGGTCAACAGTTTAAATTTTTTGCCATCCGTCTTGTTTGTTTAAGCATCCGTTTACAACCGTTTTTCGCAGCATTAGTGTCCGTTTTCCCGTGGAGGGTCACATATTTTATCATATAGATATATGAAATTTAACATAGTTAATGACTAGGAGTTAGTATGGTTAGTGGCATTTGCAGGCATTCGGATCCTGTCTTGTTTGTTAGCATTCGTGCAGCATTTGTTGCATTCTGTGGCATTTTGCAGCAGTACTGTGGTTGTTGCAGCCCTCGGACTCCTTGAGCACCTAGCCTCCATTTGCAATGTGGGTGTTATTAACACTCAAACCCCTAAGAGTGATAGGCATCTAATTTCTCCCAACATTATCACCCCTGAATCAAACATTAAGGACACAAGAATAAAAAAAGTGATCACCAACTAAAGAACCTTTTGATTGTTAAACTAGTTCTCTTTATAAATCTAATCAGCACCTTAGGAGATATAATAGAGAACAGTATGAAGAATATGCATGCTGATGTTCGGGTGTAAAGCATTCAAGTTGTGCAAATTGCAAAGCCTCTAGTGCATTTACTGTCAATATTCTTCAATGATAATGACCCTAGAGTATTATTAATTAACATGGGGCCTGAAATGAAAAAGGAATCCTCAATCGACTTCTGGTGCTTACATTGTATGTGGCAAAAATGGTGGCCAGTAGTAAATTCTTTGTTTGCCCATTTATAAATAACAAGACCTTAAATAGCCATTTGACCTAATGATACAAGAGCATTCATTCCTGGAAAGATTTTGTAACAAATTTTTCTATATGTTACACCAAGTTGAAAGTACTCTTTCAACATTATACTGTTTTCTTTCCATTCAGGAAATAGAAGAAGCATGTAAGAGACTGAAGAAAGAAATTGATAACTTGGGACCTGAAGTAGGCGAGCTACGCTGCATCCCACTGTACTCAACTCTTCCTCCACAGCAGCAGCAGCGTATCTTTGATGCTCCTCCAGCCAAACGTCCCAATGGTGCCATTGGGCGCAAGTGTGTGGTGTCCACCAACATAGCTGAAACATCCCTCACCATTGATGGTGTGGTGTTTGTAATAGATCCTGGATTTTCCAAGCAGAAGGTCTGTCTTATTCCAGAATTTATCACTGTCTACTTTGTACAAAGTGTTTTACTGTTTTTCTTGTCTTATAATCAGCACGAGACAAAGAAAACCTCCTGAGTTCCCCAGACAAATCAAACCTTAGACCTTAAGTGCTCAGGTGCAATTCTTCATGGGAACTCAGAATTTTTTCTATGTTCCATGTTTAATATGTGACAAGATGAAAAAATATCTCTTTCTTTACCAAGCTCAAAAATATAATTCTAGTTTATTGTTACATGCTAAGGTTGACTGAGTGTAAAGTCATTTTTATCTGGTTTTTTATAATAGGTGTACAATCCCCGTATCCGTGTAGAGTCACTGTTAGTTTCTGCTATATCTAAAGCCAGTTCACAGCAGAGAGCTGGCCGTGCAGGTCGCACACGTCCTGGCAAGTGTTTCAGGTTGTACACAGAAAAAGCTTATCAGACTGAGATGCAAGACAATACATACCCTGAAATCCTGAGGTCCAACCTCGGTACTGTGGTGCTACAGCTGAAGAAGTTGGGCATTGACGACTTGGTGCATTTTGACTTTATGGATCCTCCTGGTAGGTTAAGCCTTTCATCATTTGTAATTTGCTTCACAATTCTCATGATGATATTGTGGAGAATTTAGTATTGGATCAACTAGCAATCCCTTAATTTATATTTTTCTTTATTCTCGTCTCTTGTCTGCTTGATATTGTATTTATTTTTGTAAGAAGAAATTCTGTCTTGGTCACCCATGGGAGTTACCGTAATTTCCGGCTGTTTACCCGCACGGCCAATTACCCGCACCGGCCGATTATTGCATGCGGCGAAAAAGAAAGTCAACAGATTACCCGCACTGGTGGATAACCCGCACGTTATATTATTCAACTTTTTGATTGCGAAGACGTGACATTAAGGTGCTACATTTCAGTCTTTTAATAGTTGTCTGATCTAACTTTCGAAAACTTGAAAGCTTCTTTGTCCAGTTTAAAGGTCAAGGAAATTCAGACGCGTGCACAGTTCTGTGTCAATATTAGCATGTTCTTTATTAATAAAATTATACAGTTAAAACACTAGCGGCCCATGCCCAAATCTCAACATTTCATACTTGACAGAATGCGAATTTGTGGCCACATTTTGTGTGAGCGATCGTTCAGCGCCATGTTGATTCGTTGAAAGAAAGCTGGGTGAATGTTAAAACTTGAATTATTAAGTACTGTCGGCGATTTCTGAAAGAACTAGATATCTCCGGTTCTATTGGGCCTATCAAGTCCCATAAAACGGGAAAATTCTCTTTAGCTCAAGCTAGTGTTAAATGGAAATTTGTTGTTGATGCTCCGGATATCTTTGGATTATTTTTGTCACCATCAAGGTTTCGTTTTCACACGTGCCGATAGCAATTTGTTTGTCATGCAACTAATTATGCGTGAAATAAACTCAAGTCGGCATCATGTTTTCGTGCCGCTTTGTGGCACTCTTAATACAGTAAAATTCATTTGAGAGGTGGAAACGCATGAAGGTGAGAATTTTTTTCAATTCAACTACCAGTAGATTTTAAAATTGTCACATTACCCGCACCTCCCTGTTACCCGCAGTGGCGCGCGTTTGACGCAAAATCAACAGATTACCCGCGGGTAAATGGCCGGAAATTACTGTAACCCTTTAACTCTCAAGATCTTATTAGTAATTCTCCTTACTGTCTGAATATTATTCTGGTGATGTTAGTTCAGAGAATTTGGTACTGGATCTACTAATAATCCTCCAATTGATATTGTTCTCTATTCTCAATTCTGGTCTACTTGATGTTGTATTGATATTGTATTGATATTGTAAAAAGAAATTCTGTCTTGGTCACTCATGGGATTTAAAGTGTTGAGGGCTTGCTAGCAAGCTGATGTATAAACACTTGATTTGTGATGATTCCCAGAAGATTCTTTTCTGAAGGAATGGCATGATGTCTTCCAAGTGAAAGTTTATGTACAAACCAGACAAAGGGGACTAACATTTTATTCTCTTTGTTTTCAATTTGCTAGCACCAGAAACCCTGATGAGAGCCCTTGAACTGCTGAACTATCTTGGTGCCCTTGATGACAATGGAGACCTCACATCACTGGGTTCCATGATGGCAGAGTTTCCACTTGACCCTCAACTTGCCAAGATGGTGATTGCCAGCTGTGACCATAACTGTTCTAATGAAATTCTCTCTATTACTGCTATGTTATCAGGTACACTCCATGTCTATATCAAGTGAACCTGTTGAGTGAAAAATACCTTTTGATGTTATTATTTTATAGTTAACTGGAATTTAACATAGTTAAGAACTAGGAGCAAATATGATCAGTAGTGTTTTCAGGCATTTGGTTCGCATTTGACTGGCTGTTAAGTGTTCAAGCAGCATTTGTTGCATTCTGTGGCATTTGCAGCAGTACTGTGGTTTTTGGGGCCCTGGAGCTGTCCTCTTCTAGCAGTATACCTTATTAGTGCATGTGTTTTTCTGTCATTAGCTTAAATTGTGTTTGTTGTTCTACACCATGGCATTGTTGTCCTTAAAGATAGCAGTTCTTTGCGTTTCCTTCCCCCCAACTCTAACTGTAGGGTTTCTAGTGTGGGGTTTATTTCGTATTATTTGTTTTATTTATTGATTAATTTATTTATTCATGTTTTCCTCCATTGAGCCATCTGGCTCTAGTGTGATAATACTCATAGGGGGTAGGGGGCTTGGCGGGGGGGGGCTCATGGCTGGATTGCGGGTTAGGCAAGCCAGTCAGGCATTTGGTGTACAATGTGGACATTAAATTTTAATTTAACAGTGATCATGCCCCTGTCCATTAGTTCCTCAGGTGTTTATGAGACCAAATGAAGCTAAAAAGGCAGCTGATGAGGCTAAGATGAAGTTTGCTCACATTGATGGAGACCATCTGACCTTGCTGAATGTTTACCATGCATACAAACAGAGTGAGTATTACAACCTGATCCTAATGTTCAGTTTTCTGATGTTAATATTTGTACATTGTAAACTAAATACCTTTTACTAACCCTTTAACTCCCATGAGTGACCAACACAGAATTTCTCCTTACTATATCTATACAATATCAAGCAGACAAGTGATGAGAATAACGAAAAATGTCAATGATGGGATTACTAATTGATTCAATACCAAATTCTCCAAACTAACATAATGAGAATCATTTGGCAGACAGTAAGGAGAAACACCAATGACATCTTGGGAGTTAAAGGACTAGCCAAGGTTTTAGGTCTGTACTTTAAGTTATGGACAAAGTTTTTCTTGCATGGATTTATGGCCCAGTGGTAGCGTGCAGGCCATCAGTCCGAGCAGGAAAAAACTAGGTTATGTACATTACTGTACCAACTATGAAAACAATGGTAGTAAGATATTTATTTTATCCCTGGGTTTAAATAGAAGGGAAAAATTTCAATTCAAGCAAACTTTTGCAGTTAATCTGGCAGGCTAACAGGTATTATTGCATTTAGATTGTAGCTCTATGTTTGGGTTTTAGTGCAGATGTTGTAGCAGTTGTCTTTCAGCAGTCTCCAGGGGTTTTGTGGTAGTTGTGTTCAGATGTTTCCCTTCCCTCTTTTTATTTTCCATCCACTGATCTCATCAGAGTTTACTAGGACACAGAGAAGGGGCTCATGGCTCAGTTGTGATATTTGCCAGCCATGGGAAAGATTCATGTATGCTGTCTGGGGGCTGGCTTGACATAGTCAAAGCCTAAAGATGCACCAGGCATCCAACTTTCACTCAATCAGGCAATGGGTTGAAAATAACATCAGCATGCATGTTCTCCATAATGTTCTCCTTACATCTCTCAAGGTGCTAAAAAGGAGAATTTGTTTAACAAACAAGAGCTTCTTTACTTGGCAATCATTACCTGTATTCTTGTGAGGGTAATGTGTGATTCAGGGGTAATTCTGTAAGGAGAAGTCACTCTTAAGGGTCAAAGTGCTAAATTACACTTTTTTAATCTTTATTTGCAGATCATGAAGATACTCAGTGGTGTTATGATAACTTCATCCAGCATCGTTCTCTCAAATCGGCTGATAATGTGAGACAGCAACTTACCAGGATCATGGACAGGTTCAATCTTGGACGACGTAGCACTGACTTCAACAGTCGTGATTATTATGTAAACATCAGGAAGGCACTGGTGACAGGATTTTTTATGCAGGTACTGTACAAATTTCCAGACCTTAATTAAAATGGCTTCAACTTTTAAACTGGTTTTAAATTTAATTGGAATTCACTTGTCCATGACAAAATCCTAGAAGCAAACTGTGTTGGAAGTCCTTTTAATAAGGTCTGTTCTATAGATGTACATCATTATTTCGAAGTATTTTTTGTAGGGGAATCAGCCAAAAAGTAATTTTGGGAAGGAAAAAGTTTGGGCAAAAATGGTCCGAGAAATACTTAAGAATAAGATCATGGATTGTTGCAATACTTTTTTTTAGTCTTGCTCCATTTACATTTCACTTACCTTTGCTAGCCATCTTCAGAAATATCATTTGTGTCAGAGTAGTGACGTAAAGTACATCCATTCAATTATTTTATGCACAGTTTGGTAAAACTCAGTCATTATTTACAATCAAACCAGCCTGACCATCATCAGGAACTGAAATTGATAAACTTCTATCACATTTATACTGAGCCAAAATTGTAACTTGTGTAAGTTTAGGGTAAAGACACCAGTTAGGGGAACATGGACCTTTTTTTAGTTCAGTCAAGTTTCTAAAAATCATTTATGTTTGAAAAAATTCAGCTTCAATTTGAGCAGTTTATTATTATTGTTTGGCTACAAACATGTACTCTGTTAGTATTTTACAACCAGACAAGGCACAAAAATGTGTACAAACATTTTGAGCAAAAAATTTCCTATCAAAATGAAGTGTGGTTAAAAAATGGCATTTGTTCCCCAAACTGATTCAGTAATCTTATTTGAAGTACTTCAGATACTGACCATTAAATCTGTGAATCCTACCTACCCACCCATCCCTCCCACTTAACTGTTCTGATGAGTAGGTGGCTCATTTGGAGAGGTCTGGACACTACCTGACTGTCAAAGACAACCAGGTGAGATATTAAGTAAAAAGGAAATCAGTAAATTTTACTGATTCCCTTTACTTACAGCAGGATATTACTGTGTCTTGAGTTGTTACATTAATAACAGAACACTGATAAAGTTTGGTTTTTATATGTCACAAAAATCCCAGGCAATCAACAATTTCACTGTTTACCTACAGTCCAAGATTTTGCTGATATATTAGGAGATTGACTGATGTCTTTGTCAGATTCTTCTGCACACTGTTTTTCTTTGCACACCCTCTTTTCTTGATTAGGGGGTACTGTAGCTAAGCACCTAAGTGACTGGTAACAAGCTAAACTATCCCAGACATTCCTGACATTGAAATATTGGGTGAATGATTGCCAAACCTACATATTTGGAGCAGATTTCTCCACTTGAAAGGAGAACCCTTGAAAATGTGCCCCACTCCAAACATGAGGCTTGGTAGCTCAGTTGGTTGTAGGGGCCCAACCAGTACCAAGGAGGCCTGGGTTCAAATTCAGGTAAAGCCTGGTTTTTTTTCAGGCTTCTTTTCAGCAATGACTGAAATTACAGATCACCTGCAAGGACCAATGGTGTATTTGAATTTCATCTGAAGGTTAACTGAATTTATTTGACTAAAAATTATTATTATTCAACCACTAGGTTGTACAACTGCATCCATCAACTTGTTTGGATCACAAGCCAGAGTGGGTGTTGTATAATGAGTTTGTATTGACCACCAAGAACTACATTCGGACCTGTACAGACATAAAGGCTGACTGGTAAGTTTCATGATACCCGAGACTTTCCTGAGTGTATTTCTTGGGGTGTTTACTTTATAACCCATTATGATTGATCTCTTGAATGTTGTCACCTGTGCAACCAATTACAAAACAAATTCAACTGAATCCTAGTCAACTGCTATTTCCAACACTTGACGATGTTACTTTATTTTCAATAAGTTCTAAATGGTCTGTTGGCTAGCAAGTTTGTTTATATCGTCCCATGTACATTGTATTGAGTCAGGTGTTATTTTGTTCCTGAGGCCCAAGAAGGTAACTCTGGTGATCATGCTTGAAGCTAAACATTATGGCCTCACTTAGTGCACCAAAGAGAAGAGCTTCTGCTTTGGTTTCAGTCTGTTTAACAAATATATTCCATGTTGTCATGCTTGTGTTCTGTTAGAGATAACAGGTGGAGTCAAAATGCTGGTAAGAACAAAAAAGTGGTGCACAAGGCACAGCTGAGTGTCACTGATGTTCTCATTACATTTTTCACATATTGTGTGATCTACAGCAATACGGAATCTATGTTTTGTGTAATAGAAATTTAAAAAACTTTCAATTATGATGTCACCTATGTGTCTGTCCTTCAATAAATAAATCGTAATTCAGTTTATTACATGAACAAGCCAGACATGACATTGTTGCCGTGGGCTTGAGACAAGAGTGCATCAGGACAGTGGCTAGAGTCAATTACGCCTACAACATTTTAGAGACCTTTTGGGAACTTCTTCAGGACAATCTAGTTACCTCTTGAACAACTTCTTCTGAGATGTTTTAGGAAAGCTTGTTCCTTTTTTTTTTTTGCAGGTTGGTGAAGATTGCACCCCAGTACTATGACATGAGGAACTTCCCGATGTGTGAAGCTAAGCGAGTATTGGAGAGGATTATAGAGAGGTTACAGAAGAACAGATAAAACGGCAACAATGAACCATGAACCAAAAAGAAATGTGAAGGAAGAACTTTGCAAATGCAATAATTATTATACCACCATCTGTAACTGGTTGCTTTCTGACAAAAAGTAAAACTGTGGTTTTGTTCTGTTTGCTTCCTGAGATGTTTTCTCGGAAGCTTTTCTTTTGTTATTGACATAGAAACATTAACATGTAAGCAAAGTCCCACAGGTCATTTAAGTATGTTAAATAGTATGCTGCTCTACAAATCTGTTAGTTGCTGATTTGTAACTTGTTGCTGTACATAGCTTTCAATTACTATTGATGTCTTTGTTCTATTAACTTTGTACCTCCAGAGATTTTGGTTCAAATTCTCTCCTTCAGCTGCCACAAATACTCTTGTAAAGCAGTAATTAAAAGTGACTTCACCCTTAAGTTAAGGTATTCCTTTTACCAGTTTGCTGGTTACTGTGGAGATTATGTGCTAAACAGAAGTTGCATATTCATTACCCTCTGGAATTCAAGGGGGAAGTAACCAGCATGCAAGATAAATTGTACATTCTACAAACTGACTTGATTTCTGATCCTTTGCAAAACTTAGCTATCTGTAGCAGATTAAAAAAATTGCTTAATAAAATCTAAGGAACCCAATTTCATTTTGTTCAAGATTGTTATTTTCCACTACTCAAAAGTAAGAGGAGGACTTTTTTTTTTCTTCTTTTAAGAAAATGCAGAGATCTGTGGTATTATACATAAACCACTTTTTTTTTTACTGTGCTTCAGGTATTTTTTAGCAGCTGTTAATGGTCTCCTTCGACACTTTGCGTGATACATTTAGCTAGACAGTGAGCATTGGGTTGTTCAGATACTGCAAATACTTTCCAACCTTTATTCTTCATTGCCTCTGCTGTTGTTTTACCAATTGCAATGAGCTGTAAAGTAAAACCATATCAAGGTCAATTGGTAAGGCATCCTTGAGACACCACTTGGTTACTAGGGGAGAATGTATAGAGGAAAATCACTAAGAGTTATATGTGAAAAAATCAAATATTTACTTTAACACTATCCCATTCCAAAATGCCAGAAAGAATATCTTGTGTGAAGTTAACTCCTGATGGACTGAAAAATACAGCATATGATGGAACACCCTAAAATGAAAATACTTATTAGTTGCAGAATATTCTGGAATGGCAAATAGGAAAAGTCTATGTTCCACCCACCCCCCTACCCCTGTCTCTCGAACATGAATTTTGTCACTAAACCCTGTAACACCCATGAGTGACAAAGACAGAATCTCTCCTCAATATTAAGCAGATAAATTATGAGGATATACAAAATCATAAATTAGGGGATTATTTAGTTGATCCGATACCAGATTCTTCAAACTCTAATCATAAGGATTGTATGGCATACAGGAGAATTATGAATGAGTTCTTAGGAGTGAAAGGGTTAATTGGTAACAATTTTGCATGATGATGTACTTTGACATTTTGCTCTTCCATTGTTACAACAAGTGCTATGATATTTCCTCAAAAAAAAAAAAATTACCTTCTCTTTTGTTAAGTCTTCCAACAAATTTTTAACATTAGGGTCTGCACATGTACTGTACACATGAATGCTGTCAAGTGCTACTCCTGCAACATCAAGAAATTAACAGCAGGTGGTTATTTATAGCCTTCACTAACAGCAAGCCTCTTTTTCTAAGTACAAGGCTTCCTATTCCTTAAGTTTCAGGGCTGGCAGTTAGCTTTTACTTCTTAATAGGGGCTGTTACGGGTCGCCAATAAGTGGAAGCTAAACAGGAGGAGGCCAGCCCACTTAAGAAGAAATATTCAAGCTGCTTACTGTTCTCGATACATTTCTCTGGTGCTGGCAAGGAGATCAAAAACATTTCTTGCAAATCATTTCCTATATTCTCATCATCACAATGTTGATTTTAGCAGAGATACAGTAAAGAGAAACTAGATGCCAATCACTCATTAAGGGTAAAAGGGTTAATCAGGTAGTAATAATGATTCATGACTGAAGGGAGAGAGGTATCTAAGGTATGTGCCAACCCACCCCCCCCCCCCCACCTTCTTCATAAAAGAAGATAATTTACATGAAACACTCTAATTGTAAAGGGGATGAGGGAAGGGGGGTGGTGTGTCATCTACTTCTCCTCCCATGTTCAAGACAACATTACATGAATAGCCCTCTCCTGCATAGTAGAAGGTTAAAATCTGATTTGTTCAATCACCCTTCTGCAACCACTTTCATTCCAGGTTTTGTGCTTATTGTGAAAAAAACAGACCCAAATTAGTCCCATCTGAGCAAGTAACAGCTCATGTGAGGTTAAAGGTGCAAAAAAAAAACCTTTTCCCCTACCACCACTGTACCTGCTTTTGCCATTGCTGTGGGTATTGTCTCTCTTCTTAAATTACCACAAGGAAACAACAGTGGATTACTGTCTGGTGTGATAGCTATGTAGAGTATAAACAAAATATTACTAGAGTCATTTCCACCACAATCTTTTTGATAATCAAATTGATAAAGGAAATTTAAGAAAAATTGTTGTTGGCAGTACTGAATAGCCTTTTGACAACCTGAGTGGAAGTCATCATCAGAGTTCTTTGAGAGCTGTTGTCAGTTGAATGCAATAAATCAGGATGGTGTAAAAGGATTGGTCAATTTAGCCATGATATTATTGGCTCTAAGACTCAGGTGGCAGAACTGAACTACCAAGCCAACTGGGAGCTGGTCATTATGTTGATTTTAAATAAGCGTGTAAAGTGATGAATGAATGACTGAAAATCATATATGTGAACTGCAGATAAAGAAGTGGTAGAGCACTGCACCAGTATTGCAAAGGCCATGGGTTCAAATCCTGTACTGGCCTGAATTATTTTTTTTTTGAGGCTTTATTTTTCAAGTAATGTTCAGACTGCAAAGATCACTTTCTTATTCACCTCTTTATCCACAGTTCGTCTATAAGATTTTCAGATATTCACAGTCATTCATTCATCACTACAGGTTTATTTGGAACCAACATAATTACCAACTCCCAGTTGTCTTGTTAGCTCAGTTGGTAGAGCACGGCAGCAGTATCACAGAGGTCATGGGTTCAAATTCCGTACAGGCCTGAATTTTCTCAGGCCTTATTTTCTCTACTGCTTAAGTAATGTTCAAACTGCGAAGATCACTTTCATATTCACTTCTTTATGTACACATGTATGATTTTCATATATTCACAGTCATAACATAATCCATACACTGAAGAATGAAAGGAACAAGGGCATCTGCACTCCCTGCATCATCTCCAGTAGAGTCCAATCCAAGCTTCTCACTGACTAAAAGATAAAAAAAAAAAAAGATCTGTCCTAACTCTTCAAATTAAACAGGATACTAAACATCACAGCAAAAGTATTTTGTACATGCAGATGTTAACTGGTTCAATATCCATCTAGATCAATGATGATGCTGATGACATGATATCAATAACTTAGCCAGCACTTGCATTATAAAATCACTCTAACCTGCTTTGGCTGTAGCTTTTCCCACAACATATATTGGTTTCTCTTTCCACAATTTTGCCACCTCATCTCTCCAAACTAGGAACAGAAAATTTTTATAATGTCACTGCCTAAGCACCATACCAGAAGAAAACAAATGAAACATAATTAATCAAATGACTCCAACCTTCACGTGACACAAAGTTAGCCACACAGAGTTCCATAGCCTCCACTGCACGCTGGCTTGTCACAACCATACCTGTAGCAACCATTTGCAAGTCCATTGGTATTTGATTGTTTAGTAACAGAGATTTTTATAAGAAGTGGGAAGGAGATAAAGGAGTGAAACTGCATTCCCAGACTCAGTGTTACTAATTACACAGAATACATCTATTTAACAAGAAGATAATCTGTTGCCATGCATCTGAAAAGAGAATTCTGCATTGGAGCCTAAGGATTCTCCAATGTCGGATGCCTTATAGACAGCCTGTCATTTAAGAAAGAAGAGAACGTTTGTATGGACAATACACCTCCATATTTATTTGGATCCTGAAGTTTCTGACTCAGCTCTTTCTCATTGTCATACTTGAATGCAAGGACAGGAATTGAGAATGGTTCACATCCTTTCATAGTCAACTCCTGCAGAAAAAAAAAGCACAACAACATTATTTGAAAAAATAGTTCGATAGCTTACATCAGTATGCATATTCTCCATACTGTTCTCTATACATTTCCTAAGTTACTGACAAGGAGAATTTGTTCAACAATCAAGAGCCTCTTCTGTTGGCGATCATTTCCTTTAATCTCGCGACCTTAATGTGTGATTCAGGGGTGATATTATAATTAGAACTAGTGGTTGGTCACTCTTAGGTCAGCCAAATTTTTCAAAAACTTTCTCACCTTGTGGTATTCGTCTTCTGTGGGAGGTGAAGTAGGTGATCGAAACAACACAACAATGGGAGCCATCAATCGATTCAGTTCTTGAATAACAACGTTTCATCCAAGAATTTAACCTGTAGTCTTTTAAGTGAATTTATTTCTGAAAATCAATTTTTTTTGTTTGTTAGCCCTACTTTCAACCGGAAAACCTAGTTAGAGTAACTGGAAATTTGTTGAGCACTGCGTCCACCATTTTGTTTTTGGAGGACCGAGAGAAGCTGGAACCTAATCAATCTTCTTTACTTCTAACATCCTCCTGTTGAAACGCATAAAAATCAAAGGCTTTCGCGAAAATGAAATAGAGAACGGCTACCTAAGAGTTTATCGACAATTTTTCTCTCATTTTGGAGTTCGAATTCCTGCCTTCGACACATGACAACAATGTTCTCCAAAGGAAACTTTTGCATGACTTATTTGAAAAAATGATGGTCTTGGTCGTGACAAGAAATAAGTTCCCTCAACGGTATTGAAATATATTAAAAAATATTCGTAAACTGTCGAAAGATATTCCGCAAAGTCTAAAGACAAATTTTAAACTCATTCTGTGACGTCAATTTTCCTACCATAATTATATAATATAAGGAACCGAAAAACCACTCACTCTTGAAGAGTGACAACCCGCACATTGTTCGCTAGAAGGCTTTTCATAGA